CCCTAGAGCAAAACCCTCCCAAAAAAAAAAAAAAATCAGCTGTGCTAATGACAAACTGTAAAACATTATAGACCCATTTTTCTATCCTTTGTAATAAAAATATTTGGATACCAGGTAGAAAAAAATGATTAATAAAATTTATTTTTATTTTGACAGTGTGGAGTTTTGAAGTAATGTGATTTAGATATTATAGTATTAACCTTGCAAACTTTCCCATGTTTCATGTCGCTGTATTGACTTTTTTCTTTACATGCTGGAATGTTTTCAATAAACCATAGATATTAACTGACACATCTAAACAGCTAGTAAAACTGCAATTAATAAAAAAAAATAATTGGGACCAGCAGTTAGCATAATGGCTATGTCGCTGGACTCCCACATAGTTGACCGCTGTTCGAGTCTCGGGCCCCGTGGGTTTCACTCAACCTGGGCACTACTGTCTGTGAATCCCGAGAGGAGAATGGAGGAGAAGGGATTGTGGTGTGACCATCCCCCCTGGAGGGTGATTTCTCGCTCTGTCTCTCTCTGTCTGGCGAGCACACACGCCTTATAACAAAAACCTCTCCAAAAAAGAAAAAAAAAGAAAAAGAAAAAAATAATTTTCTACCTCTCTCAACTTTGCAATGATTAGCTGTATTTAGTATACACTACTGTTTATTATATCAAGAAGTAATTTAGCAGATACTTGTTTTGGGGAAGAAAAAGTAAACAAAAATTTCTTAATGATTATATGGAAAAATTTGATAAAGCCAAATAAAAGAAACTTTAAATCCATTTTCTGTGGCTGCAAATGCATAAATTCTAAATAAAATATTACCCATTTAATGTCAACATTGTATATAAAGAATAACATATCTTGATTAATTTAATCCCAAATCAACAATGACAAGATTTTTAATTCACTTTACCATAATATATCCAAAGCAAATTTTGTTTCCCTGCTTTTCTGATTTGATATATTGAAAATCAATATGTAGGGCCAGCAGATTGCGTAGTGGTTATGTCACTGGACTCTCAGATGGCCGACCACAGTTGGGGTTTCAGACCCAGTGGCTTCAAAATCATGTCTGGTTCATGTGCGTGCATGCCCAAGATCCTGGGAGGATGGAGGAGAAGGGATTGCAGTGTGGCCATCCCCCCCTTTCCCTTCATTGTCTCTGTCTCATTCTCTCTCTGATGGTTGCATGCACCCTAAAGCAAAAACTTCTTTAAAAAAAAAAAAAAAAGAAAAGCAGTATGCAATTATGGGATTACAACAAGAGCTATGGTATCTTTCAATGTCAATACTTCATTTAAAATTTATAATAGTTAGGACTAACTGGTACTTTTAAGTCTCTAAGTTTGGTTGTTTCATTGCCTTTCTTTTGAGAATGTGAAGACTTGCTCATTGGGACGCCCATCGGTTATGTCAACGGAGGCATTTTTTTTTTCTGTGTTGCCAGTATATAATTTGCAATGAACTAGAGGATTATTTGAGGATACTTTGCTTTATTTAATTATCCTCGATCTATATCTCTATTTTGTATATTGTACTGGTAGTCAGATGTGAATTATTATGATAGCAAATGATGATGAATGAGAAAAAATTAACACTAAATATTGATATGCTGTTTATAATGTGCATCACTGATCTGAGAACTTTAATCTACTAACTCATTTAATTTTCTAGCTTACTTAATCTTTTAAAAAATTCTGATTTGGGGACCAGCAGATGCCATAATGGTTATGTTACTAGACTTCCACGTAGTTGACCATAGTTCGAGTCCCAGAACCAGCGAATTAAAATTCATGCTGGGTGCTTGTGTGTGTATGACCAAAATCCTGAGAGGAGAAGCGATTGCGGAGTGACCATCCCCTCAGGGACTGATTTCTTGCTTTCTGTCTCTCCAGCAAGCATACATGCCCTATAGCAAAAATCTCTCTCTAGAAAAAAAAAATCTGACTTTAAAAACTCAGGAAAGTATTATGTTCTCCATTACAAAAATAAAAATTACAAGGATACAGAGATTATGTTTCTTGCCCATATTCACAGTAAATGATAGAACTAGGATGTGGAACTAGGCACTCATCATGTAGAGCTTAAGTCTGTGCTTTTTTTTTGAGAGAGATTTTTTTTTGCTATAGGGCGTATGCATTCTCCAGAGAGACAGAGACACAGAAAATGAGAATTCACCCCCCCCCCAGGGGGAAGAGCCATACTGCAGTCCCTTCTCCTCCATTATCCTCTCAGGATCTTGGGCATGCACTCACATGAGCCCAGCATGAGTTTAAGCCACCGGTCTGGGATGCAAAGAGCGGTCGACTACATTGGAGTCAAGTGACATAGCCATTACGCCAACTGCTAGTCCCTAAAGTCTGTGCTTTTACACACTGCCTGATGTCTTCATTTAAACACACACACACACACACACACACACACACACACACACATATATAAAACAAAAGTTCCAGACTTTTTTTCCCAATGGAGAACTTTACATTCTTTTGCTAGTTAGCCATTTCGTCTCTTTGCCCTTCCCACCCACCCTCAACCACCCACTCTTCTCCCTTACAGTATCTGGTATCTATACTTATCCTCTCTACTATCATATCTTTGGATCTTTCCATTTCTGCTGTAGAGGGCAAACATTGAGTACATATTAAGTGGGGATATACAGTGTATCTCTTTCAGAGTCAGGCTTACTTCACTCAACATTAAGTTCTCTATATTCATCCACCTTGAATCAAATGATAGGATCTCATTTGTTTATTATGGCTGAGTAATATTTCATAGTGTATATGTGTCAGTTTTTCAACCCAGTCATCAGTTTTTGGATATTTAGATTGACTCCATGTCCTAGCAAATGTGAATACTGCTTCAATTAACGTAGATGTGCAAGTGTCTTTCCAGCTGTTTTCTGGTCCTTCAGGTAAATACCAAGGAGTGAGATTATTGGGTTATATGGTAAATCTTTTTATAGCTTTTTTTTTTTTGAGAGGTTTTCGCTACGGGCGTGTACGCTCGCCAGACAGACAGAGAGAGACATAGAGACAGAAAGCAAGAAATCACCCCCTGGGGGGGATGGTCACGCCGCAATCCCTTCTCCTCCATTCTCCTCTTGGGATCTTGGACATGCACGCACACGTGCCCAGCGTGAGTTTTAAGGCACTGGGTCCAGGACGCGAACTGTGGTCGACTATGTGGGAGTCCAGTGACATAGCCATTACGCTAACTGTTGGTTCCCCTTTTTATAGTTTCTTGAGGAATCTTTATATTGTTTTTCACAGAGGTTGTACTAATTTGTATTCTCACCAAGAGTCTAAGAAAGTTCCCTTTCACCACAGTCTTGCCAGCACATGTTCTTTATTTGTTTGATCCTAGCCATTCTAATTGGGGTTAAATGGTATCTCATTGTGGTTTTATTTTGCATTTTCCTTATGACAAGAGACGTTGAACATTCTTTCATATACCTTTTGGCCATTCCTATGTCTTCCTTGGAGAATTGTCTGTTGAACTCATTTAACTCAGTTGCCCATTTTTTTTTAAATTGGATTATTCATTTTTTCAATGGATGAGGTAAATTTGTGTTCCCTATAAATTATGATTATTGATCTATTTTTTGAGGAATAATGTGCAATATTTTCTTCCATTATGAGGGTTGTCTTCTCCATTGTTGTTTCCTTTGCTGTGAAGAATCCTTTTAGCTTGATGTAATCCCATTTGTCTATTTTTGGGATTATTGCCTGTATTTTGGGGGTCTTATTTAAGAAACCTCTGCCTACTCCAGTGTCTTCAGGACTTTCCTCTAAGTTTTCTACCAGTACTTTTATAGTTTCGGGTTTTACATTTAAATCTTTGACCTATTTTGAGTTGATTTTTGTTAATAGTGAGAGCTTGGGGTCCAGCTTCACTTTTTCTGCAGTTCTCCAGCATCATTTGCTGAAAAGACTCTTTTCTCCACCACATTGTCTTGTGCTTTTTGTTAAAGATCAGTTGACTGTCTGATGTTTTCATTTTAATAAGCACTTCTCTTATCCCTATGTTGTAACTCAGTGAAATTTGCAATTGTAGACAAGACAGAATGTATTGTTTATCTGCATCTTTTTCTTACTATTTTCCAGTAATAAATAGGAAGATTATTCAAGGCATGGGAGATTACCAAAGCAAATAGTTAAGACTGACATTCATTAGGACAAGCAAATTTCCCTGTACTCACTTATCAGTGTCTTGTGCATAGAAATGCCAGATTTGTATCCTTAGTACTTGGGGAGATTGGCAGTATACAAAAAGACATATGACTTAAATTATTCACCTTTTTGTGAATTTTTAAAAAATAATTTTCTTTGTGTTTTAATAGGTAATAAAAATCAGAAACATGTTTTGAGACCTGAATCTCTGGAAGGGACAGATGAAGAGGATCCGATTACAGCTCTAGAATGGGACCCACTATCTACTGATTATCTTCTTGTAGCTAACTTACATTATGGAATTCGCCTAGTAGACTCTGAATCACTTTATTGCATAACAGCATTTAATTTTCCCAGTGCAGCAGCTTCTGTACAGTGCTTAGCCTGGGTTCCAAGTGCTCCTGGGATGTTTATAACTGGAGGTACATTTACTTGCAATCTCCACGATTTTAAATATGTATATGGTCTTTATTGAATGGAAATTGTGGCATTTTTATTGGTTAATTTTGCATGCTATATTAACATGCCAAACATTTTTATAGTAAATTCCTAGCTTAATTTTATTTATATTGTTTATATTGTATCATTATTATAGTGACATATAACTGATATTAAGAACTAGTGTTAGATGTTTCTGGAAATCCTTTGAAATATATACATGCACACATATAAATGTGTCTGTGTGTGTCCAAAAGACAAAGAAATTCAATTTTAGACCCAGCAGGGTGACAGTAATATAATAGTACTAACCAGAAAGACAGTTTACCTGGATTGGAGCTCTGTTAGTCTCATTGATAATTTTGATAGCACCTGATCAGGTATGCCTAGGCAGACCCAGACATTTATCACCATGAATTGAAAAGATAGTCCTTCATGGTTTCTTAATCATGAAAGAAGTAGTAAAACTATGTAGTAATAGGGGATGGGAAGATGGAATTAGGAATAGTCATTAGAAACTACTGTTTACTAAGGTTTAGAGAAAGGGGCCTCTGAAGAGAGAGAATATATTCAACTGCTGTCTAAATACTCACCATATTTGCTTCATGTGAAAATAATAGACAAACATTCTTTATCCTCTAAACATTAATGAATAAATTCTTTACTTCTTTTACTTGACATTCTGTAAAGAAGTAGATGGATTCTTAACTTACATATCTTACTTGCCTTTAATTTCACAGGATGTAATTAATAATAAGCATGGAAATTTTTAAAATGTATTATCATTATCAAGATATAATTCACATACCATACAACTCACTGATATTAAAGTGTGCAGTTTAGTGGCTTTCAGAATATGCACAGAACAGGGAACCAGCAGTTAGCATAATGGCTATGTCGCTGGACTCCCACATAGTCGACCGCGGTTCGCATTCCAGACCCGGTGGCTTAAAACTCACACCGGGTGCGTGTATGTACATGCCCAAGATCCCGAGAGGAGAATGGAGGAGAAGGGATTGCGGCGTGACCATCCCCCCTGGGGGGGTGATTTCTCGCTTTCTGTCTCTATGTTTCTCTGTCTGTCTGGCGAGCACATGCGCCCTATAGCGAAAAAAAACCTCTCCAGAATATGCACAGAACAGTACAGCTATCACCACTCTCTAATTCTAGAACATTTCATCATTCCCCATTATTTTCTTCCTGTACTTCTTAGCAGCCACTCTCCATTATTTTCATCCTCCAACCCCTGGCATACACAAGTACATATATAAACCAGTAATCTGCTTTCTATCTCTGTGGATTTGCCTGTTCTCAGCATTTCATATATAGAGAATCAGTCCATGTGTGGCTTTGTGTGTCCAGTTCATTTAAGGTAGGGTTTTTAAGTTCCATTCATGGTGTCACATGTATCAGTACTTCATTCCTTCTTATGGTTGAATAATATTCCATTACGTGGCTATGTCATATTTTACATTTAATTTGATTTATTATTATTTTTTTAAAGGGCATGTGCATTCACCAGAAAGAGAGAGAGAAAAAAAGCTGCCAGAACCATGGTCGACCATGTGGGAGTCCAGTGCCTGAACCACCGTGTCCCTGCTAGCCTTAGTCAGATTATATTTTTCCATTCATCAATAATAGACATTTATCCTGTTTCCACATTTTTGATATTATGACTAATGCTTCTATGAACATTTACATACAAGTTTTTGTGTGGATATATGTTTACAGACTGTTGAGCATATAAATAGGAGTGGAATTGCTGGGTTGTATTGTAATTTTTAATGCTTACTCATTTGAGGAACTGCAAGCTGTTCTCCAAAGCAGCTAGCAAGGTAGAACTTTTTAAAAGAAGGAGATATTCAAATGACCTTCAGGTATATTTGACAGCCCTTTTTTGGGTGAAAGTGGACAATAGGGAAGTTTACAAACATTTCAGAAGGAGCAATTATTTAATCATAGAGGTGGCAAGATTTCTGTGACTGGGTATTGTGTGGTGAGATTTATGTGACTGGATGTTTTCTAGAACAATTATGTGTCAAGGGAGTGTTGCTTTTTCTGTGGTTGAATTTGTAGTTACAATGGTCTTTTTGGAGAAAGTTGCCAAGGTAGTTTCTAACTTTACAAAAGAGTTTGGAACAGAGAGAAGTAGTTTCAAATGACAAAATTTAAAGGTTGAACAGCACGTCTTTGATTGTATTACTCTATAATATTATTGTTTGAAGGCTGACAATAATTAGTGCAAAAAATGTTTCAAATTGAGGATTTGTTATTACATAAGCCTTTTAGTTTCAAACAAAATTTGTTAACATATGCTTTTTTGTGGTCTGACTAGATTCTCAAGTGGGTGTTTTGCGTGTTTGGAATGTTTCAAGAACAACACCAATTGATAATTTTAAATTAAAAAAAACAGGATTTCATTGTTTACATGTACTGAATTCTCCTCCAAGGAAAAAATGTAAGTGAAAATCATGAAAATTTTAGTATTTTCAAATATCATATTTTTTTTTCTTTTTTTTTTTTTTTTTGGAGAGGTTTTTGCTAGAGGGCATGTGCACTTGCCAGAAAGATAGAAACAGAAAGCGAAAAATCACCTCCAGGGGGGATGGCCATGCCATAGTCCCTTCTTCTTCATTCTCCTCTCAGGATCTTGGGCATGCACCCACACGCCCAGCGTGAGTTTAAGCCACCGTCTGGAACTTGAACCGCGGTAGAATACATGGGAGTCCAGCAACATAGCCATTATGCCAACTGCTGGTCCCAAATATCGTATCTTCTATCAAATAAAATAATTGATATGGTACTATAGACATATAAAATACCATATTCTAATGAAAAGTAACCTTAAAAAAGCTGTCGAGGGACCAGCAGTTAGCATAATGGCTATGTCGCTGGACTCCCACATAGTCGGCTGCGGTTCACGTCCTGGACCCAGTGACTTAAACCTCACGCTGGGCACGTGTGCATGCGTGGCCAAGATCCCAAGAGGAGAACAGAGGAGCAGGGATTGCGGCGTGGCCATCACCCCTGGTGAGTGATTTCTCACTTTCTGTCTCTCTGTCTGTCTTTGTCTGTCTGGCGAGCACACGTGCCCTATAGCAAAAACCTCTCCAAAAAAAAAAGAAAAAGCTGTTGTCAATATATATGCCACATGAACTATCAAAGCTACAGAGTATCTGATTACTACATTAAAAATATTTAGAGCCAAGTTACATTTGTAAAATTCTGTTCTTTAAATGAGAATAATAAGACAATCTCAAATTTTCCAAATGGAGAAAATGAGACAATGATATTGCCGAAAATAAATGAGAAATACTGAAAGTGATAGGATTAAGTAAGATTAGTCTAAGGAAAAATTGTATTTCAAACATGGCTCTTTTTCAATCTGTACAGTTTTTAAGTAACCTAAATATTCAAAGTATTGGACCTAGAACATATATTCCATGTTTTCCAGTTGTCACTGGATTTGTAGTTGGCATTATGCATGTCATCTGTCTTCTCTCTTTATTTTTATGTATTTTTTTTCCTGATTATCATTTAAAAGCCATAAAAGTAAAAATTTGAAAATGTGGGGCATTGTAAAATTAGAATTTTTCTTAAATGTGAAGGAAAAGAACCTGATTTCTTGTCAAGTCTGTCATGATTATGCTGCATGGTTGGTAGTGTTCCCATTTTCTTTGGATCATAAAAAAGGTAGGGTAGGAATCAGTGACTGAGAAATCTTGAGTAGTTGATTTCTCCTTACTGCTGTCTTTATAACACATTGTTAAGTAAGCAACAATAGCTACTCCAAGTAATATTACTTTGGTATCTAATTTAGTGGGGTATGGCAGGTAGTGAGGAATCTCTATATTTGAATATCTAGCCTTTCCACCACTTTTTTTTAACTTTTGCTGGTAGGCCCATGTGTTCACCGCACGTAAAAGAGAGAGAGCAAGTACTCTCCAATAGGGTGTGGGCGTGCTGCAATCCTTCTCTGTTTCTCCATCCTGCCAGCATTTGAGACTTGCATATTGGCCTGGAGTGTTTTTCAGACCAACTGCACTTGGTCAAGTGGTGTCTAACTCTCATTACACTGCACTTAAGCACTGCCCCGTAGGGCCACCCCCTCCACCTTTTTTATTGTTTTTAAGTTTATTTATTTCTTCCACGAGTGAGAGAGAAGGATTGAACCAACTGGTTCCCAACACCACAGCCCACGCCCAGCCTCAGCCCGCCTACGATCACAGATACTCTTGCCCCTGGCCTACTCAGGAAAGTCTCCAGACACAAACAAACCTGGAAACTGTTCATGTGGGCCAGCCTCAAGAGCCTTGCATTTTACTCTGCTCTACCATTCAGCTCCACTTTTCTGCACATTCAAGCTGTTCTATGTCTAATATTTCTAGAGCCTAGGATCTAGTGGGTCTGAAATAGCAGGACTAGGGAAGTAATGTGTTGGAGGCTGGCATACTGTTCTTCTATCCTGCATTTTTTTGATCATTGCATTTTTTTATGTTTTTTTTTTTTGCTTACTGACTATGAACTTCCTTATCATAGAATGACTGAGATACCACAGATCCTTTTTTTTTAATTACAAATATCCATTAGATAAATTCAGAAAATCATAAAGAAGTACATCACAATTTTTCCATTTTTGTGGGTTTTTTTTAATATAAAAAAACTTACGGAAAAAAAACAAGTATGAAAATGAAAATTTTAAAATGTAGACATACTTGGCCAGCAGGTGGCATGGAGGGTAAGGTAGCCAGATCCCATGTAGCTGACTGTGCAGGTTGAATCCTGGACCCAGCAGCTTAAAAATTATGCCAGGTGCCTCTGCGTGCATGCTCAAAATCCCAAGAAGAAAATAGAGAAGGGATTGCATGTGACCATCCTGCCAGGGGGTGATTTCTCACTTTCTCCCTCTCTCTCTCTCTTTCTTCTGGTGAGTGCATATGTCTTATAGCAGGAAAAAAAAGTAAACATACTCAGTGAATTCTAAAACAAAATCCATGGATTATAAATAAATGGGTCTGTAAAGATTGTCAAAATCACCTGTGGTGTCAACTAATTAAAATATTATAAGCATATAGTCTTGGATAATATTAATTTTTTAAAGAATTACTTTATTTAACTTTATTTATTTTAATTTGACCATAGAGGGACAGAAAGAGAGAGATAGCAAGCCGCCTGGTTCAGGACAGGAACCGTGGTCAGCCATGGGGAGTCCAGTGTCTTTAACCACCACGCCACCTGCCAGGCACTGGATAATATTAATTTTTAACTATCAGGAAAATTTTATTAAGCCAAATTGATTGTTACTAAGTACATTTTTAGTTATTTGTAATACCTTGGACTTCCTGTCATTCTCAGATTCCAAAAATGAGTATTATCCATAATGAATGCAATAAAAACTTTATTATATTTTTAATCAGAAAAGAAAATAGTAAAATATCTATATTTCAGTATGTACTTAATAATAGATTCATCTAATAATTTACAGTAGTATTCTTTTGTGTTATATTTGCAAGAAAATATTCACATTCTAAGGAAAAGCCTCTCAAAAGAAGACAAAATATTGGATAAAAAGTATACAAAAATAACTAAATGAAGGGACATTTATGTAATTGAAAGAAAAATTAACTGAAGAATTCAAAACAAAGCAAAAACAGAAAAACAAGAAAGAAAAATTGAGATTCAAATGTACATCAGACAGTACTATGGTTCTTTGTGTACTAACTTAAAATGAATTATAAATTATATAAAAAATAATTACTTTCATTACTGGAAAATTAGTGGCAGAGAATTATTTGCTTTAAAGAAAAATACACCTGCATCTCTAGTTGTTGTTGGGAAGGAGGGACTAAGCTATTATGTCAGCATTTTGAAGGAAGGTCTTAATTCAATAAGAATCATGCTGCGTTTTAATTTATGGGGAGATAAATATTTATGACATACTGTGATTCCTCACACACTAATTTTTGTCCATTCTGCTTCGTCTGCACTTCTGTATAGCACTTCAAAATAATAACCAATTTGGGGCTTATATTTCCACATTTTTTGGCAGTGCTCCAAAAGTTCCAACATGACAGAAAATGTGATGATTGACTGCAAGGTTACTGATAGAATTTCTGGATTAAAAAAGTTAAAAACCAAAACAATGAAGCATTTTTAGAAATTAAACACTATTGTTTGATTCCAGTGGAAAACCTTTGGCATAGATGTTTACTTTCTTTTTCTTTGTTTTAAGTTTCTATCCAGTCTCCAGCCAGAAATCATTATACATCCTCCACAAGTGAAGCAGTGCCCCCGCCAGCTTTGACACAGAATCAAGCATTTTCTCTTCCTCCTGGTCACGCCGTTTGCTGTTTCTTGGATGGTGGAGTTGGACTTTATGATATGGGCGCCAAGAAGTGGGATTTTCTTAGGGACTTGGTATGTCCATTTTCATTCCTTCCGTTAAGCCAACACTCACTTTGTGTATGAGCACATCATGCTTACTTTTACGTCTGTGTTAATAATGTTAAAAAGTACTGGGTTGTCAGAAAAGTCATGATGAATTTTTGCATAGAAAACCGGAAAAAAAATACGTCATGACTTTTCTGACTTTCCCAATATTTTTGGAAATAATGATGTATTAGGACTTTTTCCTAGTTATTTGAAATATTTTAGGAAAATCTACTGAATGATGAGAAAACTATTGAAATCTTTGCGTATTAAACTTTTAAAAATATTAATGTCTACTTAGCTAGTCTTTGGTATAATGAAAAATTATATGTAGATGTACTGTATTTTGGAAGAAAAATGAGAGAGAGGGTGTTCTTTCAGGAAGAAGAACACCAATTTTTACAAGTTATTTCAAGCCTATTATTCTCTTTTGTGTTTTGAGTAAGGTTGACGTAGGTGTTTTCTAAGGTTTATTTCTATTACTGCGTCACTATAATAATTCTATGATTCTGTGAGTTCTAGTCTTACCATTAAGTCTTTATAAAACACCTCTAACATCCCATATTTTAGTGGAGTTTTGTTCTGTACTATATCCCCACTACCTAATATGGATCCTGACACATAGCAAACGTTATTAATATAAATTTGGTTGAATGAATGAATAAATGAAGGCATGTAGTAATATATAGTGTATTATAATGAATATTTGTCAAGAATCATCTTCCTTAATTCTCTCTAGTTCAGAGATTTAAAAAATGCTCCTGACTTTTTTATTTATTTTTTTTTCAGAGGTTTTTGCTATAGGGCACCTGCGCTTGCCAGAAAGACAAAGAGAGACAGAGACAGAAAACGAAAAATCACCCCACCCCCAGGGGGTGGGCCACACCGCAATCTGGTGGAGTTTAAGCCGGTGGGTCCAGGACTTGAACCGCAATCGAGTCCAGCGACATTGCCATTACGCTAACTGCTAGTCCCACCCCTGGCTTTTAAAATAGATTTGAATTAGAGTAATTTAGATTTAAGAAACTTTAAAATGTTCATTGCTTTCCTGTTATCTCACTTAGAAAAAAATCTATTGCTATAACTTTTCTTGTGAAGAAAGGGAGGGAAAGAATCAATAATTTTGTATTGTTTCAATATTCCCTACTTAATTTTGTCAACAAATAATCACAAAATATATTTTTGGGATAATATGTTAACTTAGTGATTTTAAAATATTCCTTTTATAGATATATATTCAATTATGATTTAATTTTCTTTGTATTTAAACTTTCCTTTCTATGAAAACTCTTTCCTAGTGTGGTAAACTGTTTCTATACTTCAAATTATTTATTTTTAAACATTTATAAAGGGGAAGGGAGAAAAATATAAGAATAAATTTAAATCTATAGAAAGGTATATTAGAAGTCATACAATCTGAACACTATAGATTCTCCTCTATTAAAGTGTATATATCTTCATGTTAAAAATACATTTTACTTAAAATCTGTTAAATTTTAAATTCTAGAAAGTTTTTTAAGTGGCTTGTTTATAAATTATTTCAGTGCTCTTCTCACTTTATGAATGTCTGCTGGGTCAGCCCACAGCTCAGTGGTTAAGAAAGCTAGATCCCAGATAACCAACTGCAAGGTTTGAGTCTCAGACCCAGGAACTTGAGAAACAGGCTGGTCCACATGTGCATTCAAGTCAAAATCCCAAAAGGAGGGAGAAATAGAGGAGTAGGGATTGTCATATGACCATTCCTCATGGGGGATGATTTCTCACTTTCTTATCCTCTGTCTCTCCCTTTCTGTCTCTTTCTTTCTTTCTCTCTGGTGAACTCATGTGCCTCTGGCAATTTTTTTTTTTTTTTTATGTTTGTCAATGATGGGACCAACAGGTAGCATGGTGATTAAGGTGTTAGACTCCTACATAGTCTACCGTGGTTCAAGTCCCAGATCTGGTGGCTTGAAAAACACTGGGTAAGTGTACATATTGCCCAAAATCCCAGGAGAAAAATGGAGGAGAAGGAATTGTGGTGTGGCCATCCCTTTGGGAGGTGATTTCTTACTTTCCCTCTCTCTGTCTCTCTGTCTAGCCAACACATGCTACCCATGGCTATAAAATAAAAATAAATAAATAAATAAATAGATAGATAGATAGATAAATAAATAAATAAAAACTCCCCAGTGAGAAGGGGTCAGCCATTTTTTTCCTTACACTTTTTCTTCCCTTAGCACAACCCCAAATTTGACATTTCTTCAAGTATTACTAGAAACATCTAACTGATCTGCTCTCTATATAAAGCATCTCCAAAGAGTCTAAATTACGTAAGATCAAAACACATCTTATGTATATTTATTCTAAAGCATATATTCCAAATGGATATTTGGTTATTAAAATTAAGAAAAATGCTTCAAATTTTTTCTCTTTATCTCTACCTTCCTCTTAGTAAAAAGAAAACACACAAAAAGCATTTACAATTTGGATCTTGCTGTGTGAATTTTCAGATTTCCAGAAGTAAAATTTGAAGGCATAATGGTGATAGAACACTTAAAAAGGCACATGGAGATCCAACTGAGTGAGGTGACACAGGCGGTATGGTAGCACTGCATAATACCACCATATTGGAAGTCTGGGGTCAGATCTCAGGTTGACCTGAACATGCTGGGCATGATGTGCAGTCCTATACTCCTGGCTGATTGGGAGACTAAGGAAGGATCACAGCATGGAGAGACCCTGTTGAGATGACCTGTTTCTCTCATCCTCTTTCATAAAAGCAATGAACTTTTTAAAAAATGTATATACAGGGCCAGCAGATAGCATAATGGTTATTTCACTGGACTCCCACATAGTTGACTGTGGTTTGAGTCCTGGACCCAGCTGCTTAAAACTCATGCTGGGGATCAGCAAATGGTGAAATAGTTGTCACTGGACTCCCACTTAATCAACTGCAGTTTGAGTCCTGGACCTAGAGACTTGGGACTCATGCTGGGTGTGAGTGCATGCATGTCTAAGATACTGAGAGGAGAATGGAGGAGAAGAGATTGTGATGTGGCTGTCTCCCATGTGGTGTGATTTCTCATGTTTTGTCTCTCTGGAGAACACATGCACCCTATAACAATTTCTCTTAAAAAAATTTAAACATCTTATGCCGGGCGCATGTACTTGCATGTCTAAAAATCCTGAGAAGAAAATGGAGGAGAAGGAATTGCAGCATAGCCATCCCCTCGGCGGGGGGTGGTGGTGATTTTTCAGTTTCTGTCTTTCTGTCTCTCTCTGTCTCTCCACTGAGCACACACGCCCTATAGCAAAAATCTCTCTAGAAAAAAAAATTGCATATAAAATTCTTGACTTAAATTGTTCTTAACATTGAAAATGGCCACCTAGAACAATTCCAGCCAGATAAACCAGTAGTCGTAACAACCTCTTCCTTCCCACCATGTCTGGGACTCAAACTGGTCAGCCATGTGGGAGTCCAGTGCCTTAACCAACACCACGCCACCTGCCAGCCTGTGACTTCTGGCATTAATGCAAGTACACAGAGTTTAAAGGACTTCCTTCTCTAACTTTGCTACATTAGTTGAGGAATAGAAAATCTTGTCCCAGTATTTTAACTCTCTCCCTAGAACTCAACATGTTACAGTTTTTGCTGCTTATAGTAGGAATTTCAATTCTCATCCCCAATTTTCAGAAGAAGTAAAATTGTAACTCTGGCTTTTTAGACTCTTAACAGATTTCTCACGGGAACATAGGGATTCAGCACCACTTTATGTAAACATATCTGCATATACCACTTTACAGTCTTGTCAATGTTTGGGATCCAAGTCATCTTGTAATAGGAACAAATTTTCCAAGTGCCAAAGAATATACTTCCTAGAAAATTTTGGAACAAGTCTCATTAAAAACTGGGGCCGTGCCTAATAATTTTTCTTTCTGCCAAAATGTGAAGTGCCATTGGAGCCTATCATTAGTATAAAGAAGGAATATTTGCATTAATGACTTTTAGTTTCTGTTTCACCTGGCGTTATAATGTCAGAATGACATAACTATTGAGATGCTATTATTTATACATTTTCAACATGACATTCTCTACATTTTTAAAAATAAGAAACATGTTCAGTTCAACCTGAAGATGAGACTTGTAAATATCTTTGAATTTTACATTCAATTCAAACTGAAGATGAGACTTGTAAATATCTTTGAATTTAGTTGTTGATTCAAGGAGCAGTGGTTGAGTAAAACCTAGTTTTATACAAAATAATACGATCATAGCACAGAGAATGTTTAATCATGGCAGTGATTCCAATTTTCTGGTTTTGGCTTACATACATTTACATTAATATATGGAAAGCCATTTTGTACATGTATCGGTTTCATTATACACATGGTTTGGTAATGAATAATATGAATTTTCCTCAGTAGTTGTGACTTTTTTATGCTGCTTTTCTAGGGACACGTGGAGACAATCTTTGACTGCAAATTCAAACCTGACGATCCGAATCTTTTAGCCACAGCCTCATTTGATGGCACTATAAAAGTCTGGGATATAAACACACTAACAGCAGTGTACACTTCCCCGGGTAATGAAGGGGTTATTTATTCCCTTTCATGGGCTCCAGGTAAAAAGTATTTTATTAAAATCTGGAATGCAGTTAAATGACTTTCTGAAATTTTATTTTCACTTGAATTATCTTTTTCATTTCAATGTTGTCTTGTTCTAAATGATTGTCAAGTCAAATTAGTACCAATGATTGGTTTAATTATTGTGAAGTTTTCGAATAGATTACCTGCAGAGGCAGTTACGTATACAGCGCTGTCATATAGCAAACCACAGTAAATCGGGATGCTCTTGTCCCATTTAATTTTAGCCATATCTGTATAGCTATGCTTTTAAAGGTACAACCCATTTTCTTCCTCATTTCTTTTTCTTTCTCTTTTTTTTTCAATTTGTTGTAGGGTGTGTGCACTCACCAGAGAGAGACAGAGAAAGATAGAGAAAGTGAGAAAGCATCCCCATGGGGGATGGCTATGCTGCAGTTCTTTCTCCTCCATTCTCCTCTCATGAATTTGGGCACACACACACACACACACACACACACGCCTGGCATGTTTTCTAAGCTGCCTGGATTGCGACTTGAACTGCGTAGTTGGCTCTGTGCAATCCAGCCACGCTAACCACTATGCCACCAGCTGGCCTTTTTCCTCAGATATTTTATGTAAATGAAAGTGATGAAACTAAAAAGAGAAATTTATTTTTAAAAATTATAATTGATAACTTGCCCTCACATCTATTCTTTAAATATGAATGATGTATCAGTAGAAATTAAATTGTGCCATGTAATTATATAAGCCCCACCTTTGTAATATTGAAGAATTTTGATACCATAATAATGTCTTTGATCTCAAAAGTATTCTATTGGGAACCAGCAGTTAGCGTAATGGCTATGTCGCTGGACTCCCACGTAGTCAACCGCGGTTCGCGTCTCGGACCTGGTGGCTTAAATCTCACGCCGGGCGCGTGTGCGTGCATGCCCAAGATCCCGAGAGAATGGAGGAGAAGGGATTGCGGCGTGACCATCCCCCCTGGGGGGTGATTTCTCGCTTTCTGTCTCTATGTCTCTGTCTGTCTGGCGAGCGCACACGCCCTATAGTGAAAACCTCTCCAAAAAAAAAAAAAAAGAATTCTATTTATATCTTTTGATACATAAAACAGAAAAGATGTCCTACAAAACATCTAACATTTTTTCTCAAAATATTTCTCTTTACAAATAATTTTACACACCTAAATAGATTTTTTTAATGTTATACACTATATATAATGCTTTACTTACTTGTCCTAACAGTAATAGATTAACTTAGTAACCACACATAACCAGGATATAGCTTATCTTTACTTTTTAACTTATTTCTTCAAAATACAGGGATTATTCACCATGAATTCATAGGCCTTTTAAAGGCTTTTAGATATCTACAGAGAGTTTGAGAATGTCTTGGAGTTTTACAAATAATTTTTGGTGTATGTGTTTATATATCTGTGTCTGCCAAATAATATCATAGTAATACAATTTTCAGAGAGCTCCATGATACAAAAAAGGCTCAAGGCCCACTGCTTTATGAATTCTCTATCTCTTATCAGTGAAAAATCTAGAAAAAAATTTTTGCTTACAACGCTAAATGATGGTACTTGTTCCATTAAGCAAAATTTACCTATGCATGGGTTCTTAACTAGTGCAGTAGGTATCTTCACAGCAGTTTCCCCTGGCTAGTAATACAGGGTTTAGACTAACCAGTCCAATAAAGCATCTCCTATTACCTGAAAACTCTTTCTTAACCTTAAATAAAAATTGTATAAAAGCATGGCTTCAAATCATAACAGATTTCCTAATCTGATTTAAAACATTCTTGTACTCTACATTGAGAATTTGCATGAAGAAAGTAAAAATGTTGGAAAATAGAATTCTTTTTTTTTTTTTTTTGGTTTTATTAGTTTTGCTATGAGGTGCATGTGCTCACAGGAGAAAGATGCAGAGAGGGAAAGTGAGAAAGTAACCCCCAACCCTCACAGGGAGCAGATGATGCTACAATTCCTTCTCTTCAGTACTCCTCTTGAGATTGAAGGACATGGAAGCCCAGTTTTTCAAGCTGCCAAGGCCAGGACTCAAACCGTGCAGTTGGCTATGACCCAACTGCCTTCACCACTACACCACCAACTGGCCCGAATTCTGTCATTTTTTTTTGTACTAAGTAATTACCAATTAGTTATGATTTTTCAGTAAGTGGAGATGAAATTTAGAAGATTACTGAAGGTCAAAATGAACAGAAACGAAATAGGCTATATTATAGACGGTTGTACACTTTCCTCTGTATTCTGTAGTAGATACCACAGGGGGACAATGCAAATAAATTTGGAAACATATTCCCAATAATTTAAGAACTCAGTTTGTAAAATTAGAGATATACTAAGGATTTACTCAAGTGTTTTTAACCATTTATCACAAAATAATTCCTCTATATTTTTACCACTAGATAATAGATGACAACTTCTTTCTTCTAACAGCAAAAACCTCTTTGCACTGCCATTCAAACACACTGATTTAGTTAAGCCCTTGACCATCTATTGTGTTGTCAGAAAAGTCATGATATATTTTTCTATGTTTTGTCTATGAAAAAAATGTGTCACGACTTTTCCGATGACCCAGTATTAACTTAGCAGTCATTTATTTTCACAAATGCTTTTCATTTCTTAAAAACAGAAGGCATTATTTATGTTTTTGATAGGCTGAGTTTTTTTTTTCATGCAATCTGCTAATTAAAATATTTCCTAACCACTGAAATAATACTACATAGTTAGGAAATTATGAATATTGACTGTACTTATGATCATCCATAGGAATTTTTTATGATTTTTATGGTGATGATTAGGATGTTTGATCTTTTTTTTTTTTTTTAAACTTTTTTTTAAGTTTATTTATTTCTTTTTTTTTTATTTATTTTTATTATTTTATTTTATTATCATCATAATCTTCTTTCTATTACACTAGATTACATATAACTTTACATTGACTTCCATTGCTTTTTCAAAAGGGAAGGACATGCATGTCAGTGAATACAGAGATATCAATCTCCCCGCTTTATCATTCAATATCTTTTCCATGCTTTTCCCAATAATTATTATTATAATTTTTTTTTTAAACAGTCAATCACTATTTCTCATTTTGCTTATTAAAAAGACTTCACCCATCATGAAATACTTTCCAGACCGGTTCAGTTGAGAATACTATACATGTCATCGTCAACAGGTAATAAACCATATCTATTTCTCATTAACATCCTGCCTCTCTATTGTTCACTGCTGTCTTTATCCTCTTCTCCCTCCTTTTTCTTTTCTTTTTTTTTTTTTATGCTTTGTTTTTTATTATAAATTTTTTTTTCTCATCACAACACACATATGAATTTTCCATCCAAAATACACTGTGCATTGGCTCAATCAAGCACATCAACATATATGTTCTCAGCAAATAATTTCCCAATTTTTGTGCCCTGCATACCTTGCCTTTTGTTTTGCCATCCTAGGTTCCCCATCCCCACCCTCTGCCATGTCCCATCTTCCTCCTCCATTGTCCCTGACATTCATGATTGCCCTCAATGGCTTCCGCCCCCCCCCATTCAATTGTTCTACCAATGAACTCAATTAGTCTAAGTATATCCACTAGCTAGCACAGCTGACATATCCTTACACATGTATCCAAATCTGATCCTAGGCATAAACCCCAGGGAGTAGAATGAACATATTATAAAGTAGACCCCAGTTGTGTCCATACAACTCTCTTCAGTCATCAAATGTGCATTTTTTTTTCCTCCTGCTTATTACTTTTTTTATATTAAATTATATTGCCTAACACTCATTCCCTGAGTATCATCACAACACACCAAGTGTAGTTTCCCATCTAGGATAAACTACATAGTGTCTTAATCAAGCATGTCGTCACCAATACTGTTCCATTTCTACTTTCATACATATAAATATGTTTTTTATCCTATGTTTGACCCTCAGCCCTTTCCCCCTCTCCCAATTACTCTATCTCTGCTATAGACAGCTATCCTCCAGAGGGGTCATTGAAAATGCGATACCTGCGAGTAGAGGGAGAGGGGTCACGAGTCCAAAGTTTTTAACAATAGGGAAAATAGATTCCATTCAAGGTTGGATCAAGTGTGGGTCTCGTGCAGTTCCGCAACTGTAGGTGAGTCTCCATGGAATACAGTTTCAGGAAGGCGGTTCTGGCAAGCAGAGTTGACCATCAGTTGATGCGGCACAGCAGCCATCTTGTGGTTAGCCGGAATGGTGTTGTGGAGGTCTGCAGCGTGACTTATCCTCGGGTGTCTGGCTTCCCTAAGAATGGCAGGGTAGTTCCTGTTCTTGCCTGAGGTAATGCAGGGCTGGTATCCATCATCTTCTCACTGTCCATAGGTAGATAAAATCCTTCTCTATAGTGTATTTCTCAGTTGGTTTAAGGCAGTTAAAGGTTCTTTCTGTTGCTTATAGTTGCAAATTCTTATTCCTTCTCTTCAGCTTCAGCTTGCTGGCCCAGAGGCCGCCCGCCTCCTGCCGCCGCCGGCTTAGCAGGGCTCTGGGGGGGGGGCACGCAGAG